CTCAATGTAAAAATATTTTAATATATATATAACATGTATCTCTACACGGAAGGTGTGAGGATAACGCATTCATTGACTATGACAAAAGTTTAATTTGTTCGTTTCCTTCTTTCTTTTTTGTTTTCGTTTATGTTTGTTTGTATTTTTTTTTTTTTGCTGTATTTCAACTACTTCTATGATATTTTATGTGAAAAACTAGTACTTTTAAATTTTCTTTTAATATCTCAGACCAGAACGTCAAGTAAATACTCTTCCGCGTCCCTATCTTTACTCCTCACAAAAATATTAACTGCTGAGAAGGCCCCGGAGAACAAGAGGCCCATGGACCACATCGATCACCTGAGAACACTGGCTAGGAAGAAGCAGAAATCAGATCAGTATTGAACTGAGGTGGGGGTGGGACTTAAATTTACACTACCTCAGGATGCTTCCTTATCAATATTATTAATCATGGCTTTGCTGTTCTTAAACAGAAGAATTTTTAAGATTTTTCCCCTCTGTGTTCCTATGCAACACTCTGATCGCTCATTGTGGCCCCACCCTACCCACCCTTAAATAATAATGTGACTAAACATGGCTTTGCTATTCTTGAGGATAAGATTTTTCCAAGATAATTCCTATATGTATTCTTATGCAAAACGTTGACCCTCTGTTGAGCCTTCCCCATTACCTGGAGGTCATAATATGAACAAACTTGATTCTACAGTACCTAAGGTTGCTTCTTTATAAATATGAGTAATAATGGCTCAGTTGTTCCTGAGAAGAAGACTTTAAAGATATTTCCTATGTTACGTGTATGATCAGGTTCTTACAAGGGATATATAGGTTTCCCTTTTATTCTGAGTTAATGATTGGACTGATTATTAAGACGTCTCTTTCTGAGGGTACATCACACAGTAATTCAATTTTCTCTTATCTAGAGACGGGGAATGGGTAAGGTACTACTTGCACCGTGTTTCTCCTCTAGGTTCTCATTGATAGAAAAGAACCGGGTGTTTCAATCTTCTTCATATTTACTACACCCAGAACTTAACATCAATTCCCTAGGATAATTGCCAATGGTGTTTCTAACTTTTATTTCTTTATCCTTAAATGTCCATCACGTACATAATACTCTGAAATTAATTTTAAGCACTTTGCAGTAGAAAATTATTTACAAAGAGAAAGTTATAAAAAAAGTCATTAACTAAACAGAAATTAATTAACACAGATTGCATTGAAATCTATGAGGACAAGCAATTTTTCAAAAAACAAAAATTCAAATAATAAGAATATCAATAAATACTTTGGTGGAAAGATGCATTAAAACATTAGAATTAGAATGACAATCGAAAACGATTTTTTTAACCAGATAAGTTTTTTTTAAATTGATTTTTTTATTAATTAAAAACAGAGGGAGATAACTGTTACCAAAATTCAAGTTCATAAGTTAGGATACATCCCTACCTTACATGCTAATAGTAATAAATGGGAATAATGTCTAAATATATTGAGTACTCAACCCCTACAAATCTGATATGTATTCAGTTCCATTGAATCTGTTGCTATAAGGGATGGAATAACTTAACTTCTTTATTGCTGATTCAACATCCAGCTTTTTCAGCTCGCATTAGAATGCCTGACTTTCCCAAAGCTTTGCCTTATATGCCCTATGCCTAGTCCATTCCACGGGTTGTCAGGTCATTCCACTATTTGAAGTCTTCAATGCGTTTTACTCAAATGACCCTTAACCATTACACCTATATACATGTATTCCTATGCAAAACTTTGACCCACTGTTGTAGCCCCACCCAACTCCAGGGTCATGGTTTGAACAAACTTGATTCTACACTACCTGAGAATACTTCTTTTTTAATATGACTAATAAGGGCTTAGCTGTTCTTGGGAAGAAGATTTTTAGAGATATTTCCTATGGAAAACTTTGACCCCCTGTCGTGGTCCTGCCCTTCCTCCAGGGGGTCATAATTGGAACAAAATTGAATCTTCACTAGCTGAGAATACTTCTATTATAATTTTACTAATCATGGCTTTGCTGTTCTAGAAAAGATTATTTTTTAAGACATCTCCTATATAATCCTATGTAAAACTTCGACCACCTCTTGAGACCCCGTCCTACCCCCAGGAGTTATGATATGAACAAACCTGTAATGAAGCTTTCACATGAGTTTCATCTTTTCTTGCCCAGTGGTTCATGAGAAGAAGTCGAAAATGCGAAAAGTTTACAGACAACAGACGGACGCCGGACACTCTTTGATCAGAAAAGGTCACTTGAGCCAAGGCAGGCTACTAACAAATAATTTGATGTTACAGAGATTTCAACAACCGTGTTTAAATCAGCATTTTGCTAATTCTTTGATAGTTATAATGACCTTGTTTGCAATCTCAACCTATCATTGGGTCATATGTTGATACCATGTTTCATACAAATTGGCAGACTGTAATTTGCATACTTAATTTGACTACAGATTATTTCGTCTACCTGATCAATACATAAGGCTCATGGTGGTTGTGACCGGCAAGCAAGGGATACTTACTTCTCCTAGGCACCTGACCCCACCATAGAGATTTCCAGGGGCCTGTGTTTTATGTTTTCAAATTTGTATCGGTTAAAAAAATTGAGAATGATCACTGCTCGTTATCTTCATCCTTTTTATTATCTTAGGCTAATTTGAGCTTTAATATTCATTTTACGTACTTTGAAAGTAATTTAAACACTTAGAGCAGTAAATTTTAATATCAGTAATATTTATAAAATCCATACCAACAATTATTATGTGAAGAAACTGATTTCTGGGATATTTATAATTGAGCATAAAAGAAAATATCATCAACATTTTCAGTTGCTAAATATTCTCACGAAGAGGAAGAAATGCCAGCTCTTTGTTTAAGAATTTCAAACATGTCTTTGAAATTTTGAAGTAAACCAAGACCAGCATTTTTTATATTCGACCAAAATCTTTTCAAAATATTTTTGTCTCCTCTCTCGATTTCATCCCGAACACTCTCCCGCACTACTTCCCATCCCCCATTTTCAGCATATATAGGAGACGAATCAATGTCAGGAATTGCAGATACTGTTTTAGAATAGAGATCATCTTGTTCTTTGCGGACTTCCGCTAATTTTTGTTTGACTTCTGAAATTTTCTGCTGAAGTCCCGTTACATTTGCACTTTCTTCAATTTCAAACGTCTCGGGAATGGCTTCAATATGAAGATTATCCATTTCTGTTTGTAACTGGGTGAGTCTCTTGCACATAGCATCATTTTCACTGTGTCTTTGTTGTTCCAGCGTTTCTAACTTATCCAACAAATATCGTTCATGCTGTTTATATATATTATTCTTTTCCTGATATTCTTCAGAGAGCCTCTTTCGAAGTTTAGTGAATCGCTTTTTGCTCTCAGTCTCTAACTGCTTCTTTAATTCTTGCTCTCTTTGTCGGATAGCGAGTTCTGTTTCGTCAAATATTGGGCTTGTATAATAGTCACCACCATTTCTCCTTGTCATGCACTGTATCATTTCTAATAACTCTTGGACCTGCTGTTCGGAAGCTTTCGGATCATCCCCGGTATTATCCAAAGCAAAGTAGCGGTCGTCACACTCATTTATAATATCTTGAAGACACTTCGGTGCATCTCTGACAATTTGATGGATTGTCTTTTTTCCTCTGTCTAAATCGTCTTTCCGGGTAAACACTACAATAAGATATTTCATCATATCTGCGCCAAACATTTTTCGGAGAAGGATCACAGTTTCATTTTCCTCTTTTGTAAAACGTCTGATCCCTACTATCAATAAAATAGCATGAGGACCAGGGGCTGTGAGACCCACACACTTCAGGATTTCCGTTGTGATGTCTTCATTCGACAGTCCTACAAAAATATCACACACATACAACAGAACACATTTTTGTATTAAAAAAGGAAAATGAACAAACATGAAAAAATATTTCGTGACGGAGTCTAAAAACTTCGTCCATTTTCAAGAATCCTATTTGTGGTTAGTAAAATTATACAAAGTCAACTCCAAGATAATACACCCGTCCTAGAATATGCCACTGGATGGGTTGGTCTTCAGAAGCATATCGAAATTGATTTAACGTGGATTTTGAGAGTATTATGTTCAGGGAATACATATACAGGTCTCCTTCCTAATCCCGAAAAAATCTTTGATTAATGCATACATTTGTATCCTTATAAAGCAAGGTTTTTTTAAAGATTAATCTTATAAATAAGAAGAATAAAACTCTTGCTGTGGCCTTTAATTTGACATTTTCTTACGTGTAACCCCTACAATCAAAGATATATTATAGGGTACAATAAATATTTAACGTAGCCCCTTTGGCTTATCTTCAACAGAATATTAACTGCTGTGGAGGAACAACTTAAGACGTTCTGCGCTACAACATAACAAGAAGTAATCCCGATGAAAGTCAAATGTGGATTTTTTTAAAAAAGTCCAAAAAACTTTTTGAAAATAGAAAATCACACAACTTTTAAAAATCGATACCATCAAAACATATGACTTTTCAACGCCATTCCTCGCGATACATTAGAAGAGCAAGCTCTTTAACGTCATAGATAACTACTTCCTCAATGAAAATAGAACTCGTAATTTTTCAAATCTTGTGATTGGCCATTTACAGTATAAATTTGTTTAAATTAATTTTAATTACATAGTATATACATAAGTATTCTGAAGTCAATATCAAAAAGATGCTTGAAGTCATCATTGGCATTTTCTATGCACATTTGTAGTCTTTGGAGACAAGTTCTTCCATCAATCTGTTGGAATTTCGATGGGTAAATAGTGCTCCTTTATTAGCCGACCTGTTTTTATATTCATATGAAGCAGATTTTATTCCAAAACGTTCTACATGAAAAGAATATCTTGCTGTGGCTTTTAATTTTCGACAACTGTCACGGTATCTCAGTTAGTAGGGCGCTTGCTCCGTGATCGGAAGACCGTGGGTTCATTCGCCGACCGGCGTTGGCACGATAAACATCACTGCTCACCGACCCTGAGTGCCGAGTAAAATTCTAAATTTGAAACCCTTCACTGGTATATAGGTGACGCCCTTATATTAGTGAAAAATTCTCGAATGGGATGTAAAACAACATACAATCAATCAGTCAATTAATCAATTTCATCAATTATCAATAGCTTTTATCATATGTCACTTCGGTATATCCCATTGAACTCGAAATAGAGGTCAACACAGGGGCTGCGACATCTGCAATATGGATATTTTAATTTACTGGATATTTTACTGGCTATAGAAGTTATTGGCCAATTAAAAACTAAGCAATATGGCTCCAGGTTTCCATCGTCGCATTTTCCTATTTATGTAGTTCTATTCTACAATCACTTGCATATAGTGTTTATTATTCTTATCTTAATATTCAAGAGCATGTTCTGAGCAATTTTCAAACAGAGGTAGATTACTGACGAATAAGTTGATTTTACAAGGTTTACAGCAATATATGTTTAAGTCAGTCTTCTGCAAATTCTATGGTCATTATAAGGACCTTGTTGCAAATACGGCTTATCGTTGGGTCCTATTTTGACCGATATGTTGTTCACCAATTTTGATGACTTTATGTCATTTTGACTGGGATTACTCCTTTTGCCTAATCAATACACAGCACTAGGACCGATGGCGGATGTGACTGGTCGACAGCGGATGCTTACTTCTAGGCACCTAATCCCATTTCTGATGTTTTCATGGGTTCGTGTCTTTCTCTTTCCACGACTTGTTATCTTCACGTTTTGCCTTCAATACATCGTCAACGTTTTATCAATTATCAATGGATATTTTCATTCACACATCGACTCGATATATCTCTGTAAACTTGAAGTAAAGAGCCTGTCAGATCTTTTTCATATTTGGATGTCACTGACTACAGACCTTAATGGTTAACTAAAAAACCGATTCGGTAGCAAGAACGTATTCTGAGCACGATCCATCTTTAATCAAGGCAAGCTGCTGAAAATAAGTTTATGTTACATAAACTTTCTCTTTTAAAGTCAGCATTTTGCAAATTCTATGATAACTATACTCAGTAATGCCCTTGTTTGCAAATGCAACCTATCTTTAGGTTGTATCTTTACTGACAAGTTTCCTACAAATCGATAGGCTGTTGTTTTTACACTAATTCTACTACGAATTTCTACGTTTACATAATAAAAAACTGTTCACTGCGGATGTGACCTGTGGTAAGGGGATGCTTACTCCTCCTAGGCACCTGATGTCACCTCTGATGTTTCCAGAGGTCTGTGCTTTTTCCTGTTCAGGGTTCGTAACGTTTACAGGATTTATGAGATAGATATCACTGTTAGATATCTTTACCTTTTTTTATTCAGAGAGTTTGCAATCTGATTCCCGAAAACGAGTATTACTATTATAGAGATTCTGCGAATTCGCAATGAAATAGCATTTACTAGTATAATAGTATCTCGAGAATACAAGTATCTTTAAACTATAGGAGAAAATACTACCCCCTCCAATTAAAACTGATATGGAATTCTGCCATGACCAGTAGTGTACCAAATCTTAATTTAATACTCGGAAAAGTCCGGAAATTTGGTCCACAAAGGACCAAAAACTCCAACAAAATATTTCGAAATCCTATAAAGCTTGAACCTGATCTCTTCTAAATGTGTACAAAAATCTCACTCCAATATCTCAAAGTTCATCCTTGAAACAATATAGTGTCCACGAAAACATTCAATTTTCGCGAAAGTAGTCTCATAACTAATAAAGATGGATTCCCCTGACTTCCCTTTGATATGGAAACCACCCAGTATAATGCGCCTACTGGTATTAATAATCTGAGGTTCAGTTTGACATTTAGTAAAGAAAAAAATACGAGTTTTCCATACAACGTTACATAAATAGGAAAGACTTCCTGGTACCATAAAGCAGAGGCGTATTCTGATGGACTTTGGTGGAAGGGATAGGTTGACGGGTTTAAAGGTTATGTATAAATTATATAATATATATGCCGTAGCAGACAGTGAAAGTGTCCTAGCTTTTAGCATCGATGTTCAAAAAACAGATGTCAGTCGCAGATGTTTTATATAACATGGGAAAATATACAATATTTAAATTTGACGTTCTTTACACACTTGAAGTTCTTTCAATTTTTATGCATTGTCCTTTTGTATTTTATAATTCTAATATAAAGCTGTCCATTAAACTACAGAAGTATTACTGGCCAAGAATAAACCAAAACATCATTGTGCATTCCTGTGATAGATGTCAACGTGCCAAAAGAGACTTTTCATTCCATCACCTCCTATGACATCTATACCGCGTCGTAACAAGTTTGACTGCTGACATATTGATATACTGACCTACTGAAGAAATCACCTGAAGGATATGATTACATCCTTCTTTGCATTGATTCCCTCACTGGCTGGCTTGAGGCCTTCTTAAAAACTCAAGAGACAAAGGGAGGTCGCTGAAGTCCTCTTCAAGGACAAATTTGCCAGATATTGTTCATCCTTGGTATTATTGTCTGATCGTGGTGGGAACTGAACTTCATGTCCAAACTCACTAATGACATGTGTGAGATTTCCAAGATCACACAGTATCAAAATATCATCATACAACCCTAACAAATGGATTGGTAGAGAGACAGAAAAACACCAATTCCAAGTCATTGTTTTCCTACTGTGCCTATGAACAAGACATACGACCGAACCTCTTACCCGGATTCTCAAGAACTTATTCCCACCGCTTTTGACGCATGTACAGGGGTGGATTATTAAGTAAAAAGATGACACCGCTTAACGATTTGAAGAGCTACATTTTTCACAGGGTCGGACAATATCAGCGTCTCTATTCTTATTCCCGAGCATTTACAAAAATTCACATTAAAATACACAATTGATAATTGACATGTATATACAAATATGATAAACTGAAAAAAATATGTGTTTTTATCTTCAGAAATCACCATACTTTTTTTTTTCTAGGGAAAGACTGTGCTGAACGTGAAATGATATTTAAGAACTATAATGTTTGAACATTATAGACAAAAAAAACAACATTCTCATCTCTTTTGTGAAAGTGTGGAAGAATTTCCTTCCCTGTCAGACAGCCTGGAAAACACTTGCCAAAATGATTCTCTTACATCCCCTTAGCACTGCAGGTTACACATAAATTCGATGTCGTTTACAAGAAAAAAAAGCTTTTTCAACTCAGATTTAATTACATTACTTACTTTGACCAATTCATATTCTTTAACAGAAAGACACTATATGGAATGAAATGTTTGACGTAAGAATTCAAACCATCTTTACTTATGGCACATAGCTGTATATAAAATAATAAGCCATTGCTATATTGCAAACTGTAAGTGTTTCTACACTCTATATGGCTTGGAGACATAAAAAAATTGATCAAATTTTTATAAATATAGAGATTCCAAAACTGATCTCTGAACTTTGACACCAGATTATTCAGTGTATTTATGACACGGCAGTGTATTTATGACACGGCATCAATTACGTGCACATAAAAGGGAAGTTACTTTCTTCCATTAAAACTTAAGGATTATACGATAATTACTTCCGAGATAAATAAAGTTAATTTATTATTTTCCTTGTTAGACATTTCAAAACATATTGTAAATTGTTGACAATTAACTGCTCTTCCAATTTAGATAACTTTACACTAAATGATGAAAGTCTCCCTCTTAAGTGAAATGAGCGTGGGGTTTCAAAAAACGTGTTTCAAAAAGGTGAATCGCTTACGATTGTTGCACTGAACTGACAAGTTATCCATAAATAATTCAACATTATTTGAATTAAGTTACATATGTATTCTATTGGTTAAAAATCTGAGTTATCATTAACCTTGTTTGGTATATATAGTATGACATTTGACAGTAACATGCAATGTACAAGGCTTTGAAAATATCAGTACGAACATGGATAGGCATAAAGATAAATGAATTCTAAAATCCTAGATCGAGAAAACAAACAAGAATACGACATCCGACCCCTCTTCACTCAGACCTGTAGACCTGACGACACTTGAATTCAATTGGAACTCCAGTCTTAATTATCTTGATACTTTATAATTTTTATCATTTGTGTTATCAATGGGAACAATTGCAAATGAAATTATTAATACTGATATATAATTTATATATCATGTGATAATTACTCATTCACAATGCTACAGTTTTTAAAATTTCAATTTACCAGTGTCAAAAAGCCCTGGTGTGTCTACCACAAGCAGACGATGACCAAAACGGTCGACTGAGCCTCGTTTGCATTTCTTGGTGATTGATGAATTTGAGATATCCGAGTGAAACATAGTTTTGCCGAGTATAGTGTTTCCCGTAGCACTCTTGCCTGCTCCCGTCCTGCCGACCAGAATGATTCTAACTTCATCTATAACAGCATTTAAATTTGAATTCATAAATCAATCTCAATAAAAGACAATATCTATATTGTAATGCAGTCTTGCTCACCTGAGCAAAAGACTCGAATAGACTTTCAGAAAGTTTTTTTTTAATGTTTGTCCGTCATCTGACCTTCTATCTTTGTCTATATATTTATTTTTGACTTCTTCCCCAGAGTAAGCAAGAGAAAGGTTACTTTCAATTAGTCCTTATCAAGCAAAGCAAAGGAAGATTTCACAAACATTTTTGCCTATGGGCCTCTTGTTTGCTGTACTGTTTATAGTAAAACAAAATGTGTATCCAACGTGCCAATTGTGATATTTCTTCAGATTAATGTCATTTGGGTTTCGTCGACAGGTTTTAAGCCATTGATGGAAGCATTCTATCTTACCTCCATATAATATAATATTGTCTTTTAATTTAGATTTTACTCACCATTGTCTTGTGGAGCCGATGTTGCGTTTAAGTCATTAGAATCCATGCCTTCAGGTCTTATTGTTTCAAGATCAACAGGTTTGTTGTACCCACACAACTCACAGGATATCTCCACGGGGTTATTCTTGTATGTACACTTAGAACACTGCCAATCAGTTTCTGTGAAAAGGAAAGTACATATAAATTGTATGTGAGTGGGTCGGTGTCTGTGTGTGTGTGGTAAATTCAAGTCTGAAGTAAGCAATGACGAAACAAGGAAATTGTGTCTGTTACGTAAGAATGGTTTCCAGGTTGTGTTCTATGATTTGTGAATATAACTTGTATACTCTAGTTTTATCTATTTCAGCTTATTTGTCTATTTTTTTTTTAATAAAAATGTCTACTTAGCTAGTCAAATCAGATTAACTAATTTAAGTTATTTAATTAAAAAAAAAACAATCACAGAGAGGAGAGCATGCATGAGGTCAAACAAAGAACAAACCTGTTGTTGAGATCAAGAAAGATGGCTGATAGTTGCTGTGGATGGACATAGGATTAAGATTTAAAGCGCAGCTCATCCGTTCCTTATGAGAACCGCAAGACTGACAACACCTGCTGTTTTCGTTACTGTGTCCACATGCACAGGTCCAGTTACAAAAGGCCATGATTTCTCTCTTGCCCAAAAAAGCATATTATCAGCTTACAAAATGGGATGTTGATCAATCGTTGTGTTGAATCACGGAAGGATCGCTCAAAATTCCAAAAATTTCCGTATTATGATTATACGCATTTCCTGTGCCTGTGTTATATAAAGTAACGAAAGATTTTTTGAAAAATTTTCAATCTTTTTTTTTTTTTTTAATTTTCAAACAGGAAAACTTTGCAAAATATTCAAAATGTGTAAATTATACCTTAAATGGAACTTAAGCATTAGATATAATTTCCTGTATTATGTTTGAAAATAATATCAACATATGTCCAAATTACGTACTTCCTTTTTTATAGCCCTTTATAGTAATCCTCACTTTGTGACATGGAAATTTAGGAACACTGCAATTAAACCCGATGATATCTGTGATTTATAGAATCATTGTTTGCAATATTTTTAATTTTGGTGTATGTTACTCCTATGTTATCGGAATATTTTTCGTAAATTTCATTAAACATCTTTTTTTCAGTTGTGAAACAATGATTAAAACTAGAAAAGAATAGAAAAAAGATCTATATTATTACGTTTGAATTCAGTAATTCAATAATTAAGGATCATGACCTACTTTATAAATAAATTTCTCTCTTCTTTTTTTTCATGTAACTTTCCTCATTACGAGGGGTGATCAAAAAGTTCGCGAACTATCTCTATATTTACAAAACCACAATTCAGATCAGAATGAAATTTGGCACACATATAGTCATACACATGTTCTAAAAATAACAGATGTTAAATAATGTTTTTCTCCGTGTTTGTGACGTCACAATGTGAAAATGACGTCAATATATATGTCACTTGTGACAAAAATGGTTGACTCAGTCGTACTCGAGCAACGAACGGCTGTAAAGTTTAACGTATATCTTGGAAATTCTTTTGCAGTAGAAGATGATAATTTGTACAAGGTTTATGAAGACAAAAGACTTACCAGACGTTCAATCATTAATTGGATGGATTGTTTTAGTGAAGGCAGGGAGATGGTTAAAAATTATGTTTGTTCTGTTGCCCAGCGAAAGCAAGCCGGGGAAAAGATGTGTCCTTAGCTGAGCAATTTGTTATGAAACATCGTCAAGTTACAATTAGAAAAATGGTTGAATATCTTAACAATACTATAATCATTAAATCCCTAGAATATCGTTTACTTTAGACTTTAAACATAAGAGATATGATAAAAAGAATGCGCCCATACTTTATCCACATTGGACAAACGACGCTCCCGAGACAGAGAACTCGGGTTGTGATGGGTCACCATACTAATTGTGGGAAGGGATATCCTTATCCACCCATCATATTGCCGAGATTTGGCCATTTCTGACAGATGGACTGTTCTTGTTATAAAAAATAACTTGCGTGGTAAGAAATATAAGACTCGGAAAAATCTCTTAGCTTCCTTGAACAGACTGCTATGGAGCATGTTACGTGACTGCCTGGATCACGTGAATCGCGCATGGGCAGAACAACGGAAGATGTGCATTAAAATCGGAGAGGACTACTTTAAAAAATAATAAACACTAAAACCTCATTTTATGTCTTTTAAGGAAGTTATTCAATTAGTTCGCGAACTTTTTGATCACCCCTCGTATTAATAATTTTGGAACTTTAATAAAACAACAAGCTTACGGGCCCTGGCGGTCTGCTGAACATTATGAGTTTTTCTTGAAATAACCCCCCCCCCCCCCTCTCAGGAAATGTACTTGGATTTAAATTTGTTGAGAACACTATATACACTATTAATATCACTAAAGCTTAAGCTTGTTCATAGATGTTTAGGAATATAATAGATGAATAGTAATTCAAATATTATAGAGTTTATTTTGAATAAATGATCAAATTAGCCCTACCTTCGGGTCTGAACACTGGAACGGGGGCTGAGGTTTCCAAATTTGGAAAACGTCAAATAGTTTACAGTCCTTAAATTTGATTGCTAAATAGATAAGATTTAAAAAGAAACACCGCATCGATGCAACGGGATAGCAAGCTAAGACCTATATCCTGTTGCATCGATGGGACATGGAGTTTAAAATCTTGGTAAAGATCTACTTGCTCATCACATTTCAAAATTTTTACATGAGAAGAAAAAAAATGTTACTGTGGCTTTCGATTTCACATTTCGATATATCAACGACGTTTCATTGATTAACCATCTTATTTAATATATCTGAACTATATATAGCCCACTGAACTTGAAAGACAACAAAGATCTTCTTTACCTGTTTCATATTTGAATGTTCTCTCTCTCTCTCTCTATCTATCTATCTATCTATCTATCTATCTCATTTCGCAAGAGTATGTTCTGAATACGATTAAATTTTAAACAAATTCAGGCCACTGAGAATTAAGTTGATATCAGAGAATTTTCAAACACCTCTTTTAAAGTCAAATTTTATGGTCATTTTAATGAGCCTTTTTGCAGATAAAACCTCTTTTTGGGTTGTGTTATGGCTGATATGTTTCCAACAAATTGTTCAAATTGTTTCGCCATTGTTAGTACCGGATTACTTTGTTTCGCCATTGTTAGTACCGGATTACTTTGTTTCGCCATTGTTAGGACCGGATTACTTTGTTTTGCCATTGTTAGTACCGGATTACTCGATTTACCTGATCAATACAGATGGATCAGTCATTTGTAATCAGTCAACAGGGGATGCATACTCCTCCTAAGCATATGAGTTTCGAGGATGCGTGTTTTTTTTTTTGTCTTTTTTTTTGGTTTTTTTTTTGGTTTTGTTTTTTTTCCCGCCCTGTTCACAATTCGTGTTCATTATTAAAGTAACATGTATGAGTCTGGTCAATGTTATGGTCACCTACTTTTTTATTATATAAGAAATTGTTTTATTCACGATGGATTAGTTTTTTTTTCTATCTAAAGGCAAGTCACTCTTACTACATAATACCATAATTTCAGGGTGTACTGTTTAAAGCCTCATCAGGAAGTTTTTATGAAATAGCCAAATAAGTACCAACGTGCCCTTGGGCATGAACCCAGGATAATGGATAAAGTTGCCTGCTCAAAGTCCATGGGAAAGAAAGATGTTTTCAAATGTGTAATGTCTTTTCAATGTTTGATCAGCTTAGCCCTATTTGAGACCTAGACTTGGGGGGGGGGGCACTTATTTTCCCATGTCAAGAAAGGGCTAAGTGCTTTAAACATAGTGAAGACTGAATCCATGGATAATAAATTTCACAATTGGTAGCAGGCAAGTTTCTTGCAAAATAGACAATAGACTGCAAAATGTTAATGAGTAAAGAAAAAGATTTTCTCAGAATATTCTAGCTCTTCAATGACCAATTTATCATCCCCGCACACTTCATACATTTTTCTTTCCAATGGATAAATCGACTCGTTAATGATTTTTATTGTTTGCATAGGAAAACGGACTTATAAATATCAATCCTTATATAAAGAATTATTAATCAAAATGACAACTATTCAACCTAAATGAGATCAATTGCTTCACTTCTTTTCCTGCTTATAAATATTCCATTGTTTTCACTTTCTTAAGTTACAAAAAGTTCAAAAGAATCATGGATAAAATATATTTTCCTTTGTGGTACGCATGTCTGATCCTTACGCTGGAGTTCTTTAACATCAATATTCAAAACAAATGTGGCCCTTTATTAACATATATACAGATGACAAGTTGCAATGTAATACACAAAAATAATATACACTGTATATAAATATTCTGAAAGTATATTCAATGTTCTTTTCCACACTTTCAATTTTATTTACAAGTTAGAAGAGGCATCCTTGCCACGCTCTTATTAATTGTAACATTGACAATTGCAAACAGAGTGTGGTAAACATCACAAAATTTACCTTCACCTCTCCATTAAAATGTATTTTCTTATTCATAAGTAATATTTATTTTTTTTTAAGTGAAGTTACTGCTCCGCAATTTAGAATAAGGGCAACATTATTCAGCATTCTTTTGTGTTCACGTATGATCAGTATAAGAGAATCTTATTGTCAAAGGCTTAGAAAAAGCCTGCTTTTCCTTTTATTAGCTCAAATATTTCTTGGAATTTTGTGACTAACCCCTTTCCAGCGTCTTTGATATTTTTCCAAAATTTCTTCAAAATGTTCTTGTCACCACGTTCAATTTCGTCTCGGACGTTTTCTCTTACAACTCTTTTAAAATCTTCTTCATGTCTGTATCCCAAACCCGGAATCTCCTCTATATCTTCATATAGCATCATGTCTTCTTGTTCCTGCCTAACTTCCTCTAAATGTCTTTTGACATCAATGATCTTTTGCTGTACATTGATAAGCTTGCAGTTTTCTTCCTCATCAAAACTTTCTGGAACAGCTTCCATGGTTAAATTGTCCATCTCTGTTTGAAGTGTTCTAAGATTTTCAGCCATTGATTTCATCTCGTGCGATCGCTGATTCTCCAATCTTTCAAGCTTTTCAAGCAGTGCCTTTTCTCTTTCTCTAAAATGTGAATTCTTGTGATCAAACTCCATGGAGATCATTCGCTTCATCTCGCGTAATTCTTGTCTATTCTGCTCTTCATATCTTTGCCTAATTTCTCTTTCGCGTTCCCTGATTACCAATTCTGTTCGATCAAAGATAGTACTGCTGTAATATTTATTTCCATTTTTCTTCACCATGGTTTCAATCATTTGCAGAAGATCTTGTACTTGTTGGTCCATGTTCTGCATATCTTCCTCCGTATTATTGATGGCAAAGAATCTGTCTTCACAACTTCTTATTATATCTTGTAAAGAAGGCGGGGCATCCTTAAGTATCTGCTGTATAGATTTTCGACCTCGATCAAGATCATCCTTCCTCGTGAAAACGAGAATAAGATATCTTAACATGCTTGGACCGAATGACCTTTGCAGCAATTCCACAGTTTCTTTTTCCTCCTTCGTAAACCTACCAATACCTATCACTAGCAAAATGGCATGTGGTCCAGGTGAACTTATTCCAACACATTTCAGGATTTCCGTTGTAATAGCATCATTTGTCATGCCTTGAAAGAGTATAAGAGAATGATTTAAATTTGACTAAATTTGGACTTCCTGAAATTACAGAAAATGCGTACTGCATTTGATGTACGTTGTACCAGGGAGCTATATACTAACGGGATAGGCAACTCTCGCAAGTCTCGCAATATCTCGTAAGTTGCGGGATTTCGTAAGTCAATTTTAATTAAATATATCTCTTTTGCAATCAAATATTTCAGAATAAAATCTTAATTTATCTATCAAATAATTATTCAAGATTTGTTATTAGCACTGTCTTTACTCCTTATCTTAGAAGTAATTACGTTTATTTAAAAATCAGTGCGTGCCCCTGATCGGCCATATTTCCGGAAAATCGACAAATTTGGTGGTTGTTTACTTAATATCTAAATTATTTTATAATATGTGCCTTAAAATTTATTAAATATCCATTCCGATACACAAAAGGAACAGATTACATTAATTAGAAAACAAGCTTTTTACTGGGAAAAACGTAGTTTAAAAAACTTGCAGTGTTGTGTGTGCCGTTTTGGGTAAATAAACATGGCGCTGAAGGAGTTGCCTATCCCGTTAGTATATAGGTCCCTGGTTGTACTTAACATACCGGTATCAAATAGGCCTGGTGTGTCCACCACTAAAAGTTCTCGTCCAAACCGTTTGGCTGATCCTCGTTTGCAGAGTTTCGTTATGCTAGAATTCGAGACATCAGATTCAAACTCTTTCTTGCCAAGAATGGAATTTCCTGTGGCACTTTTTCCTGATCCCGTCTTTCCAACGAGTATAATACGAATTTCATCGTTTAAGTATTCATTTTCTGTCATAAAATATGAACAAAGTAATGAAAATCAAAATTTGTAGAACCTCAACCCCTACCAACAGTAACATTTCTAGTGTCTTTCAGTGGTACTCAAAAAAGTTTTATAAAGACACAATCATATGTCGCCTGCAGCTGACCTTTGAATAGAAAATTTTTCTTCAGACGTATGATCGGACGTTGTGTGTGAGGCTTATTTGTCTACCTTGCAGCATATGGGACACTGATTTGATTTTGCATTTAAAGTCTATCAATGATTAGAAAAAGACGTTAATGGTAACCTTACGTAAAAATTTATGATAAACGTGATGACTTCAACATTTCTACCGTCAACTTTCCTTAATTGTGTAGCAATAAACCCTTATCACCTGTATATGGGGTTTACGTCTCACAGTTGATTTGATACGCACGAGCATGCTCTACGTTTGAACAATTTCTTGAACGAGGCAAGCTCGTTAAATGCAAGTTGATGAAACAAGTATATCAACAGTCTCTTTTGAAGTCAACATATCGCAAGTTCTATGGTCGATGTAATGATCTTGTCATCAAATACAATATATCATTAAGTCAAATAATGACTTACGTTTTGCATACAAATTGTCAGGCCATTATTTACACATTGAATTGTCTTCGGATTTTTTTTCTGTTTGTCCGATTATGACAAGGAGAACATGGCGGATGTGACCGGTCGACAGGGGATGCCCATCTCTGATGTTTTAAGAGGTCCGTGTTTGGTCTGCTCCAGAGGTATATAGTTTCAATGGACTTTTAAGCTTAATTACTGTTCGATATCTCCATGTTCCATAAATACAAAACGAATATGAATAATAACAGTGCACAATAAAACCCATCGGGATTCCATCATATTGTTGGAAGATCTCATCTCCAACAACTACATAGATATTGATAATCAGGAACTCATGTGTCATTTTAATGTCAAATTAAATCGAATTAAATATCAAATTAAATAGTTTATTATTACCGCACATGTATTTGTCTATAAATACCGGGTATTTTAAGACCACATGTCAGACTGAAATAGGATTTCTTATGCTATTAACGGTCTATTTGAAGAGCAAAAATATATAATATACTTAAAATGTCAACGGCGCAATTGCATTGTATTCGTACTTTTATCCTGCTATTTTCCTGGATTTTAATCGTATGGTATCGCAAAGGATAGTTTAAGTATATAGAGAGAATAAACACTTCACAGACCACTCAGGTGCTCTCATTTATTAAAACTGTTTAACATTCTCTGTGACTATTTTTAGAAATTTTTTTTCTCTCCTTAATAATTCAAAATCAAATGTACGAAAACATTTAAACGGACCTTATAATCTTAATATTTTTTAATGTTTTTATTATTGTGAAAATTATCAGGTTTTAAATATAAAACATTAGGTTTTATATCAGATTTTAAAAATAAAATGTAAAAATCCCTCTGAAATCCATCTGTAAAGCCCCCCTTTTTAAAATATAAATAAATAAATGAATGAATAAATAGATAAAAATAAATCAATTCATTTCCTTAAAAATTTGTTATTAGGATAATTATTTTTAAACATATGCCAAATTAGTAACAATTTATTTGAATTCATTTCTATGATTAACTTTGATTTTAAAAAAAAAACTTTACCGAATAAAACGTTAATCATTTTAACTATCAATTTCCTTTACTATTTATAATTTGGAAATATTCTTCTTTGACAAAATTTATATTAATGTTTTCTTGTTAAAGGTACACTTTGGTATATAAATGAGTATTTCTTACTTACCAGATGTTTCTGTCGGGGGAAGGTCGGGTACTGGTGGTAATTCTCTCCGTACAGAATCTTCCTCCAAATCATTGGCTGGCAGCGAACCTGGATAGGAGATACACGTAAAGGTACTTTCTATCTGTGTTTGTTCAAAGCCACAAACAGCACACACGGAATAAAGAGGATTATTCAGGTATGTGCATTTTTCACACTGCCATTCTGCTACTGAAAATATTTTACGAAAATGTAAAGAATAGCTTAAAAATGTGATGAACCACCTTCCCTACACCATCAGTTGAATGATCATTATTATAAAAAAGGAAAAGAATTTTACCTGTTGAAGGGTACACCAAGGCATTTGAGACTGCACCTTCCTCCATATCAGAAGAGTTTCCTAGATACTACCATGCAGTGTCTGATTCCGAAGGAGGTGGGTTTTGTTTTAAATCATAGAATCATGTGTTTTCAAAACAGATTTTCACAAGGAAATAGAGACTATTTTTGCTGTGAAATAGTTCCTGTTTGTGATAATGACTAAATTGACCAATATCTATCTAGAGTAAACACTTGTTCCTGTCTTTGGTACTTCTCTATGAGAAAGATAAGATGAGCACAAACTCAGAAAGGAAAGTTTGTGTCAACTGACACCATTTCCGAAATTTTTTTTGGTTATTGCTATTTTGATTGATGCTAAAACCCAAAATAGTTTATCAACTTTGCTCATCATCTTTAAAAAACTGTGAAGCATGCTAAATTTATCTTAATTTTTTTCCTTAAATGTAACACGTGGGTGACAAAAAGACCAAACAGTAAAGTTGAATATGTTTGCATGTGCGCCATTATCCTAAATGTGTTATAAATGGTATTGTAAGGATGTATACACATAAGTACCATTACATATGATTATATTATTCCTAGCTATAATTGATCTGTTCTGATTAAAGTCAGCTCGGTACGACATATCAAATATGCGTATACATTTTGCACAATAAAATCTGCTTTTGTTATTTAAATTCATCATTTCTTTTTTACTAAGAAGAATTTGAAGATCATTGTGGCTCAATCATTTTGTTGTGTGCAAAAGGGGATTATGGCGACGTTACCTTTTCTCTCATTTCTCTTGTTTTATTCAAGAAATTTGACAAATATTTTTATATTTCCACAACACATTTGCCATTTAATGTCCTTTCGAGACAATGATTCAATCGAAAGTATATATCATTATTTGTATCAATTGAAAGTTTTTTTCAGTTGGTTTTTATTTGATTTTTTGAAGTGGTGGTCAAAAATGTATCTTTTATCTCTCTCGATAGACAATACCAAAATTTTCAATAGGCTCCTGTTAGCAATACTCAAAAATCTTTTGATCTGTGACGATTTTATCGTGAATGTAAAAATTTTACTCGTATATAATTAAACTTAACTCTAACTTAACGCTTAATCTTACCCTAACCCTTATATTAATCCTACTCATAACAATAACACTAATTATGAATTCGTGTTATTCCTAACATAGCTGGTTTAAAAATGTTGAATTCTATTTCCAAAGTGCATGGAGCTTTTTCCAACATTTATTTCTTACAAGAATCTTTTAAGAATTCTTATAAAAAAAAATACAACAAAACCAAGAGTACAGTTGAAGTAAAGACAACAAATCAGAAAGAAATAGTCGAGATTTGGGAAGAATTCTCAAAAAAAAAAAAAAAAAAAAAAAAAAATACAACACCAAGAGTACAGTTGAATAAAGACTACAAATCAGAAAGAAATGTGGATATTTGAGAAATTAACGATATACGCAATGAAACGTAAAAAATAATCAAATATTGCTTCAATATGACAATTTTCCTACAAGAAATGCAGCAAAAACAGTGGTTCATTTGGCGTATAGTCCACTTATGTGTGTGTCATTCTGAGAAAAAAAAATGAATGTTCATATTCAAAATAGTAATGGTATACACTATGAAATTTCCCATCACCAAAATTATCAATATATCTTGAATGTGACTATTTCTTTATATTTTCATAATTTTAAAACATATTTTAAACTTATTTAAACCCAATTCTAATCCTAGCCAGAATCCTTACTCTAACCCTAATGATAACCCTAACCTTAATCCTTACCCTAACCGTTATCAAAACCCTCTTTATAACCCGAATCATAACACTAACCCTAATCATAACACTTACATTAACCATTACAGTAGTCCTGCCCTAACCCTTATTCCTAACCCCAAGGCTTACCGTAACCTTTACACTAACCCTAACCTTAACCCTAACTCTTAACCGAACAATTACCCTAAGTATAAAGCTTAATTTAATCCTAACCCTTGTACTAACAATAACCCTAACAAACCACTAAACCTTAGCAATAACCCTACTTATAACAAGTATTATCATCAATTTCATTTTCAACTGAAATATTCTCGAAATGTCACATGCAATATTAAATGTGCTTTTAAAAAATATTTCCTACAGCAAATCCTAGGGAACAGGTTTAGGTACAAACCACTTCTTGGATACAAAGATCCGAAAAAAATCGGTCAGGTGTACAAAACTAACGATACATAATTTAATTTCGCATGTGAGTTAAGGCTGGGTATAGGCGTTTCTATGAAAATGAGCTAATAAAAACGCATAAGAGGTATATTTATTATTCAGAGAAAGTTTTGATTTATTTTCTTATGTATACTTGGTACCCACGAAATTTTATAGCCAGTACACATTATGACGTCATATTATGACCTCATTGACCTTACCTACTGGAGAAAATAAAACACATCAACAAAACGGCTTTGGCGCAAGGGATTACCTTATTTATTTTTACATAGAAATGTATAATGCTAAGAATATTTTATAGATAAATAAAACTGCTGCAAAAATCCTAGGCATTTTCTCAGTTGAGGAAACTTATACCGGACTGTATATTTTTACCCTGATTCAACTTAAAACTTAACAAATAGAAATTATACAACTGAGCTGTTGATATTTGTGCAGCAATACCAGCAAACTTTGGGATATTTTGCTTCTATATATACCTTGTTTCAGTTAAATAAAAGAGAGCATGCCCTTGCGCCGAAGCATTTTTGTTGATGTATATTATAATCTTGTGTAGTAAAGAACAATGACGTCATAATATGACGTAATATGACGTCATAATGTGTACTGGCTATCTCGTGTCGTGGGTACCAAGTATGTATTATAGGATTAAACGTTCTTTTTCAGAATTTGTCGATGTGCAAACTCAAGCCTTTGTACTCACAAACTGAATAAAAGTGCGAAGCACTTTTATGTAAAGTTTGTGAGTACAAAGGCATGAATTTACAATTCTTATTATTCCAATTACGAAGTTTTAAAATTATTTCTCTTTGAAGCCTCCATACATTCTGTTATTTCTGTACAGCGTAGGAATACTTTATGCCGCGATGTGGAAATGAATTGCAATCGAGATGAACGGCGATAAAGTTCAAATTTAATTGTCAAAACATTTAATAAAATGAGCTTATAAAAACTCTTAGAATATTGTTTAAGTCAACAAATATCGTAAATACAAGTAGACTTCAAAAGAATTCGTCAAGCATATAGGCCATGTTGACAATATAACGACAGATGCTCTAAAACGAAAGTAGCAGACCGACGACAACCTTGATTTGCTCTGGTTTGTTCAAAGACGGGACAGAATATAGGATGTAGAAAAATGAATTTGATGCTAATAAGGCAAGAGCCTAAGGTACGTTTCCTTCCTATCAAAGCGCTACCGAGAACTGAGCTAATTTGTTTTGTAGGCCTATTACGAACGTCGAGAATATGACTTGAACAGAGATTTAAAATTCACACTCGTGATCTGACAGTGACATAAACATAATATTCCCGTCTGTCAGTCCTGTATGTCGTCAGTTTTGTTTTTATTTAATTTCAAGTTTCTGTAATTGTTTAACTAAAACACAGAATAGAAGTAGGCCTAATGATTTGTTTCATTTTTTTTTTACAATGAAAGCTAGGTCAAGAAAGTAGTTCTGACTGAGAATTTATCGATGTGTAAACTTTTTCTTGAATTTGTTCTCTTCCAATCAAAACACAGGAAATCAATAAATAAAATTAAGATTGGAATTATTAGACAATAAGTTTTAGCTTTCTCTGTATAATAGATATAGTGCAGCTCGACTTATAACAAAAAAAAAAAAAAAAAAAAAAAAAAAAAAAAAAGAGTTCACATCACTCCGATTCTTGCAGACCTGCACTGGCTTCCAGTAGAATTCCGTCCTAAATATAAAATCCTAGTATACACCTACCTAGCAGAGTATGGATTTGCTCCAATATACTTACAGGAACTGATTACTATCCGTAAAACTAACCGTACTCTACGATCGGACGGTAGTCTGCAACTCAATTTACCGAGGGTGCGCACCGGAACGTATGACGAAAGACAGTTTAACTATGCTGCTGCCCATCTGTGGAACAGCCTTCCGGTGCGCATTCGACAAGCCAAATCCATTCAGTGTTTTAAAAGACAACTGAAGACCTATTCTTATAAATTAGCTTTTGATTAACTTTTTAGATTTATCTAGCTTGTGATTTTTAAATATATTTTTAGTACTAGACTTTTAATCAACAGTATTTTTTCTTAATTTTTGCAATAGTTTCAATATTAGGCTAATTTTATTTTTAAAGCAATCTATGCAATGTTTTATGTACATTCTATGTAAAGCGCCTCAGGGTGATAGTTTTATTATATAGGGCGGTACAAAAATTATTATTTATTATTATTATTGTATTATTATATAGTCCTCTGGCATTTTAATTAGTTTATTTGCATAGAAATGCCTATACCTAGCCTTAACTCACCTGCGCTTGGTTGTAACACGTCATTTAATAGGATTAACAAAATAGTTTATACAGTATAACTTGTGTTGTCTACGTCACAATGACTTACGTCAACAACGGATCAATCTGCTTAACGTTAAATTTAAAATATGTACAATTTGGAGGCATTTTTGAAGAATGAATTGTTTTATTTTCTACACCTACTGTTGGAAAATTATAAAGCGTGAACTGTCCCAACCCAGGTTATACAGTAAAACTTGGGTAGCTTCTAAATCCATTCCTTAAATGAAGTGAAGATCAAAATAAAAAATTCAAAAAACAAACAAGCAAGTAAACCAAAAAAAAAAAAACAAAAAACCAAAAAAAAAAAACAAAAAAAACCAAAAAAAAAAACCAAAAAAAACAAAAAAAACCCCAAAAAAACCAAAAAAAAAAACAAAAAAAAAAACCAAAAAAAAAAAACAAAACAAAACAAAACAAAACAAAACAAAACAAAACCACAACAAACCAAAAAATAAATAAAACAACAACAACAAAAAAAAAAAAAAAAAACAAAAAAAAAAAAAACATTACTATTCATTTCTTCAATGTCAATATAAAATATATAGCGAAACCAGTGACACTTTTGAAGTATAAAAAAATGACCGCTTAGATGTAAGATTTTATCGGTATACACATTGACATATCCCAACCATCAGCCATTTCAATATTTCTTGAATGTGACAATTTTCCATGCATTAATAAGTTTAGGTATATTGCCTTATTCTTATACTAACCCCAAAACTTTACTTTACCTTAACATTGACCATAACCTTGAACCTAATCAAAACAAATATACTAACCCTAACTTAAGTTTTATTCCAAACGAAACTGCTCACAAAATATCATATTAGCGCTATATCATAAGTACATAGAGTTAAGTTTTTCAAAACTCATTTAAAAAAAGATACTCAAAAACTATATTTCGTGAATGTTTGATACTTGAACAGTAGGATAATATAGTATATCAAACAACACATGTTAAAAAACAAACAAAATAACAAAATAACTCAGAGAGCTGCACATTTTTTATCATAATGGACAGTATAAAGACAGCAGTAAGAATAATTTAAGTCGGAAAATTGCCTACATTCCGAGATCGGTTCTTTCACTTACAGAATGGAACGTGTTGTAAAGTTTACATGTATATGTATTGTATATTACACAGCATTGAAATAGCTTTAACCTCTGTAAAAATAATATGTGCGCCTTCTTTTTGATTTTGTTTGTTTGTTTATTGTTTATCGTCCCTCTCGAGAATTTTTCACTCATATGGAGACGCCACCATTTGCCGGAAGAGAGCTACAAATTTTGACCTATACTCGGCAGTCAGGGCCATTGAGCAGTGAGGGATCTTTTTCGTGCCAGCTACCTATTGCGACACGGGACCTCGGTTATACGGTCTCATCCGAAGGACCAGTTTCCACGTCCCACAGTGGGACGCCTTCTTTTGAAAAAGATAGACTGATTAGTGATATAGTGTAATAGATATAATTTTATTCTTCATAAAAGATAGAAAGGCAATCTTTTCTTCATCGCATCAAATATTTTTATGCATTTCCTAGCATCATTCTTTTACTATTTATATTACAATCATCCATCCCTCTCTTATTACTGGGGCATGGAACAATGGGAATAGATCATGTAATCATTAATTAGACTATTTGCCTTTTCCTGTCTAACTTCCTCTAGAGAGCTCTATATTGTCTTTTACAGCAAATGTATAAATATCATTTGTTCCTCTTGAAAGATACAGGCGAGGTTTTAATTGTTAAGTGACATTTTCCTCTTATTTTATCAATTTAAAAATGGGAGAGGATTTTGGTTTTTCATTCGAAGCTGGTCAGCTTGTAGCCATTCTCTTGAAGTTAAACCTTATTCAAGCTTTTACTCTTTCTTAAATTCTTTATAAGTAATTTTTACTGATAAAACTTCTCACTTCAATCACCGATATTAACGTACACCAAAATTTGTAGGCAATAATTATGCTGCGACTTTAATTTTTATTGATTTAGGTTTAAAATCGAAAGAATTTTAAATTCTATTTTAATTTTAGAATTTGCTTTAACGTGCTTTCAGAAACTGCTTGTATGTTTCGAAACATTGTACGTCCGAGACTATCATTAATATTTTATTTGAAAATGTCACCAGCAATATTTTCATATCTCAATACCTTCCCCATCTATATCTAAAAATTATTACGATCAGACATTATATAGTTTGGAACCAAAGTGATTTTATGACACGCCTCGAACTCAACCACAAAATTGACATTGTGAATAAGGGACAGTATCGATTATCTAAAACTTTAAAAGAAAATTTTTACTGCAGCGTGTAAAATAAAATTAAATATTTCCATGATGGATTTTCAAAGGATTTTCAAAAGGAGAATAATCTTCTGTTTAATTATAAAACACATTTTAGAATTGACCTGCCTCTCATTTGACACAAATCATGTCTATCTTCATACAGAAATTAAGACCACTTTGACCTACGCATATGACGTAAATGACTTACTTTTCGGGAAATGTTATTAGAGTTAATTATTTGATAGCGTTTTATTATACTTGTTTCAACTTGCACATTCGATTTAGATGCATACTCATTATATAATGATAAACATTTACTTTTTTTGCCTTCAAGACGAAAAAAGGTCATCAAAACTGTGCTGTCTCTTTCGTCTTGTCATTAAAGATGGGACTGCTACAATATTTATTTCCATTTCTAAGCAATATACAGTCATTTAGGATATTTCGAATCACCTTTTACATTTTGACTGCAAACGATTTTATAAACAAGTTTATAAATGGTTGTCTGGTATTGAAGGAAAGCCAATTATAAGAAAAATCGGATTTACTTTATAAGGCCAGGCTATCTTCGATATAGCGACCTTGACGGGGTTATATTTATATCACCTTTATAGTGTATTGCGGGTCACTTTCGGGTATTTCGAATCACCAAGAAAATGGATTAAAAACGGTCAGATAACAACATTATAATTAATGAATTAATTGGTATTGTTTACCAAAAGTCTCCAAAATAAAAAGAATTATTTTCTTATTGATTGTTCTTTTTTATTTTAAAGTCATTAAAGCCCCCTATGTAATCGAACTATAAAACAGCGTTCTCAGAAACGGATCATGCAGAAAAGCAATTTACAAACAAAATAATGATTTCAGAAATTCCTTGACTGTGAATTGTTGTCCTGTAATTATAATTTTCATTTTTAACCCATGTGTTTTTTTTCTTTAAAGAAAAACTAACACTTCCTTTTGAAATCATGAATTAAAAAGACTTTGGATGAGTTTATAATTAAACTATTTGACTGTTTCTGTTTCGTATTATATTAAACTAAGACTGAGTTGTGTTCTGTATCAGCTTCATTATAAATACCTACTGTCAAATTCACCATGCAGGAATAAAAAACAACATCGACAATTGAATGGATCTGTTTACCAGTGTGACAAACACCTGACGCTGTGATTTAAAACAAAGCTACGATTAAAAAAGTATAAATCATAATCAACCGTTATTGAAAAAAAATTGTATTCATGTATTTTTGTAAAATATGCTCATCTCAGGGTTAAATACAATTTCTCCGTTTAAGTCTTTAAGAATGTCATAATGTTAGAGCAGATAAACAGAGATAATAAACGTCTAATTAACTATCAGCAGATACAATTGCGTAAAAAGATTTTTTATTTCATGTATTTTTTTAGAAAAAAAAATCCTTCTTTTCTTCAAAGATTGACAATTTTCATTAGAAAGTTGATAAATTTAGGACATTGAAACATTTTTTTTTTGAAATGTGAAGAGTTTACATGATAGTTTTGATATATTTATACAGATTTGTCAAATCTCACATGATGTCGACTGTCGAGTTCACATATTTGTAGGCTCAATCAATGACCTTCTCCTTTGGATATTAACACACTACTCAAGAAATATTTCATCCGTTTTAATAATATTATTTTTAGAATATACTTTTAATTAGCATTTTAATAATTAGACTTCATTTTATTGTTAATTGAAAAAAGAAGATATCATTTTCACACAGATAAAAGACTTTAAGAGCCTGAAATCAATATAGAAGAAAGTGCTTACAATTTGAATTCTGGATTTTTTTTTTACATAAGAAAATTGAGACCTTTTAAAAAAAGAACTTTTTATGATTTGATTTTATTAGTATAACGTAGCACAGCATATGAGGTGTTATTAATGCATGTGGTACATTTAGTCGGCGATGTATTGTGGAATTTTTTTTGATTAATTCTAAAAACCACAACTTAGCAGTATGTTAGCGAGAAATTTCATGTTCATTTTTTTATCTTTATTAAAATAGTAACAATAGGTGTATAATGATGTATCAACACGCAAACACAAGGATGTAACTATAATAGTTATCGATAAAAAGTTCATCAAAAACCAATTTTCTCCTTCACTGTATCGAATATGTCCTTAAATTTACTGACTAGCTCTGACCCTGTCTTTTTGATATTCTTCCACACTTTCTTCAATATATTTGTATCTCCTCTTTCAATTTCATTTCGAACATTGTCTCTGAAATATCTGTCAAGTTTGCTGTAATGTGGATGATGAAACGCCGAACACTCATGAGGAAACATACTCCTTAAATCGTCGTCCATCTTCTCTTCTTGTTCCCGCCTAACATCTTCCAAACGACTCTTTACACCTATAATCTTTTGCTGCAAACTTATCAATTTACAATTTTCATCTTCGTCAAAACTGTCAGGATTTGCTTCGATCATCAAATGATCCATATCCGTCTGCAAATAGCTGAGTCTTTTCGATAGACTTTGTTGGTCGGCTAGGAGTTGATCTTCCATTTGTGCCAGTTTGTCGACTAATGTCCTTTCTCTCTTTTTAAGATTTGAAATTTCCTCCATGCTTTTCTCATATTTAGCTTTTAGTTCTCTTTCGCGTTCTCTAATGGCTAACTCCGACTGGTCAAAGATTGTACTTGTGTAGAATTTGTCTCCATTTTCCTTCACCATTCCTTTTATCATTTCTAAAAGTTCCATCACCTGCTTCTCTGACTTTTCAGTCTCCATTTCTGTGTTATCTATGGCAAAAAACCGATCTTTACAACTGCTGATTATTTCTTGCAAAGACGGTGGGGCGTCATTTAAAATCTGCTGTATAGATTTTCGCCCGCGGTCTAGATCATCTTTTCTTGTGAAAACAATTATCAAATATTTCAGCATGTTTGGACCAAAGGCTTTACGTAGTAATTCAACTGTATCTCTTTCCTCCTTGGTAAATCGACCGATCCCGATGATAAGCAAAATTGCATGAGGCCCGGGGGCGCTGATTCCTACGCATTTCAAAATCTCCTTGGTTATATCCTCATTTGTCATTCCTGGAAAAAATTAAATTTTTTTGAAATCTTAATTTTTTTTTTTAAATTTTGATTTACTATATTCAATTAAATAGGCTCAACAAACATCATCAAACATAATTTCAATTTTTAATGGTGATCCGTCATTTCAGTATTTTGAGTTGAGAGCATGCATGGTAAAAGTATGTTGAGAAATAACTTTTTCAATAAAAACACTTTAAATAAACAAGCATATCATGCATTTATCAGTGAATGGTAAAAAAAATCTGAATAGTTTTTATCGAAGACATTGAGTGCTACCACATTGCAATTTTCCTCATAAAAAGGTTTTAAATTTAATTGAACTGGATTTCATTCTTCAAGCGGTGTTCTATCCACTGAAACACTTTACTTTGACCCTAATATATAATTGGAGCCATTGACCTCGATAACCTGCGTTTTTACCTTAAAAAATTCAATTATGAGGATTTACATATAAATCTTGTAATTATCAGAATTATAATTACTTTGGCTGAGATATAACTACAAATTTGCATTAAATGTATTTAATTTTTTATCACAAGTTTACTCCTCTATACAGTGGATGTAGCTTATAGGATTTCGTTTTCATTTCCACGGTTGTGACGTCACAATAGGTTTTGTGCGATATTGTGGATTTACATATAATATAAATCAGTATAAAACATGAAATAATTATGTGTAAAACATTTGATAAAAAATCTCCTATGGTGTGTGGTTGGATATAATTTTTTCATCCAACCCGTTGTGTATTTTTATCTCTTCGCCATTGTTTATTAAATATATTGATCATGCATTTAGGAAAGGGAAATAAAACCTGTGTCAAAAAGGCCAGGAGTATCTACGACTAGTATATCTTCCCCGAATCTTCGGACTGATCCTTTCTTGCAACATTTAGTAATGCTTGAATTGGATACATCCGACTCAAAAATTCTTTTGCCCAAAATGGTATTTCCTGTCGCACTTTTTCCCGATCCGGTTTTTCCAACGAGTATTATTCTCAATTCACGTCTGAAAAAGCTTCCGTCTTTGAAGGAAAAAATGTAGGAAATTTTATATGTAAACAAGAGTGAGGACAATTTATTTCAATGATAAAACATTCCATAAATAGATTTCGAGACATTTTTTTGTTTATTGATATATTTCATAATTAAAAGTATCTGAGAAAAAAATACATCCGCTTGATAATAAACCAATGCGAAATATTTACATGAAATATACATATTTTGTGTGATTAAACAATTGCGGTTTGACAATTATCTCTCCCTGAAATAATGCATTGCTTTTGAAAACATTGCAACATCAAAAAAAAAAAAAAAAAAAAAAAAAAAAAAAAAAAAAAAAAAGAGAGAGAGAGAGAGAAAGAAAAATGAGCGTGATATGGATATTTGTTTATGAATGATGTCAGTTGATATCATTAAGCACTTTCTTGTACCTTGTGGCCTTTCATCTGTCATATACTCGAATGAATATCCCGTGGAATGATTTGGTGGACATATTTGGACAGGTGGGTTCCAGAAAGAATTACCTCTTACAGAATCTTCCTCTATGTCAAATGTAGAGAGAGGGTGAATGATGGTAGAAAGGTCATCATCATCTTCATCATCATTATCATCAACTCTAATCCTGAATCCACAAACCTCACATGAGATCCTGTCTGGTCTGTTCAGATACGTACACTTCATGCACGACCATTCTTAAAATAATAAGAATCAACAAAGTCTGCTTGTCGAAAAAATATTCCTTACCTTCAGTATACACAGTTTTCCAAATGAGTGTGCTCTAGTGATATTTCTGTCTAGAAGACACTTTACTAGTTAAAAGTAATTTTCACTGTTGTCAACACGGAATTATGTGTTATTTGAGTATAGAAAGATAATCATAATGATTTATCATAAGAATGATAATAAAAGCGTTATACTTTCTATGCAGTATCATTCTTAATCATCATGCTTGTTGTAAGTTTGTTTCTATCCTGCTCGTGCACTATATCTATCAAACCCTGACAACAATTTAGGCATAGTACATGCAAATACCAACACTGTTGTATAAATATAATATTCATAATAGCACAAGAAGGCTGGAAAAATACACTATTATCATATATTAAATATTAAAAATAAAATTAAGTCATGTTCTAGATCAAATGATACTTTATGTATTATCAATATTAATCCATAGGAAAAACTGTTGTTACCTCTTTGACTAATTGCCAAGACATCTGTTTCTTCACTTTCTGTGTTTTCCTCGAAAAAACTCATGATTACTGAAGCGATTGGCATTAATCTGTGGTTTTGTTCTAATTTTGGCGGGAAATATATGCACGATATACCGGTTATGTAATACGGAAGCTTACTATTTTAGAAAAAAAGTGCCTTCCTTGTCATCACAGCGGTAACCAGTGTCATCATCAAACATGAAATCATCTTCTATTACAACAGGACCAAAATATAAACAAAGTACACGACCCATCATAAAGATTATCAAAAGCTCAATTTAAATATCACATTTAGGAAAACAATCCTAGAAATAAGCGTCTTACGTCTTAAAAGTTTTCATTTCCTATCTATGTTTATTCATTATTATTATTTTTGTTGTTGTTGAAAATCCTGAATTATTTATTCAAATAGACAAAGATGGGGATTTTTGGGGAAAGTTATCGATATTTTTTTTTTTTTTTGATTTTCTATTTATATGAGGGCTTAATTATCAGAAAGTTTGTAGACTGACACCAGAAAATTACAATCGCTTGAGGTACAAGAATTTTCATACATTGATTCAACATCATATTTTCTGTCTAAAGAATAAACTGTAAGACATACGGTCTGTCTTTGATAAATTGAATGCTGTATCAGCGACGCAACCTCAAAATATGACGCATAGTAAGTCCTAAGGAATCAAATCCTACGATATGAACATTATTCATCGAATAATCAGCTTGATTCTTTAGTGTAATACGACATAAATGTGTCTTAAAATTTACAATGCTTATCTCCTTTTGTCAGTTCTATGAGATCTTACCGTAAATTCAATAGAGAGAGAGAGAGAGAGAGAGAGAGAGAGAGAGAGAGAGAGCTAAATCTTAGGGGTTAAAAAACGACGCCAAAAAATTCACATTGACTTTAGAAATGTTAGAACAGATCGCAGAGAGACAAAAGTCAAGTCAAGATTACCTATCTTTAAGCGGCACAAAAGATTCAGAGAGAGGAAAGATACATTTAATACCGAATAGCGGTCCAGATGTCCAAAGTCAGTCACGTCGAATGGAAATGTTGCGGATTAAGCTGCAAATCAACTGAAGATCTTTATTTTAAGGTCTATAGGTCCATATATTGAAATATGCTGTTCATGAAATTTTAGAATCATATTAACAGGAGTGTATTGAGGCAGAGGGAGTGGACATCGAGAAGCCATGACGTTGTCAAACATCATAAAATGCCGACTGTGATCATGTAATACCTTTTGTATATAACGAAAAATTGGCAAATTCTCAACGTATCAAGCTTAATTTTTCAACATTCCTTGACATTTCACGGTAGTCTTCTGGTAGGGCGTTCGCTTCGTGATCGGGAGGTCTGGGTTTGATTCTCGTTTGCCGCGCCACGATAAGTTAACATAGGCAGTGACTGTTCCTTAGCCAAGGGCCTGGCATCAGAAGTGAGAGTCATGAGTGTTTCAGAAAAGACCGCATGGGTGTTTCAGAAAAGACCTTAAATGACGGAGTCTTGTACTACAGTAGGCGTTGGCACGATAAAGAACCCTCACTGATCAATGGCCCTGAGTGCCGAGCATAGGTCTAAATTTGAAGCCCTTCACCTGCATACGGTAACGTCTCTATAAGTGTGAAAAATTCTCGAATGGGACCTTAAACAATATACAATTAATCAATCAATCTATTTAAAAATAAATATATTAACGTCATGAATTCCCTTCCCAAATAAATCTATACTACGTAACATTTGTGGAATATTTTAGAACTTAACAGCAGTTGGTTCCTTTATTTATTGATTGTGGTATGAAATGTCAGATTTTTTCCTTGTTTACCGTTGGTCCACTATAAGGGATCAATAGTATAAAAAATCAGGCTGTATCAAAGCCTTTGCTCCTAAACATATATATATTTATGAAAATTATGCTGTAGTATAATAATGTGATTTTTTTTTTTAATTTTCGTTGATTGACTTCAAATTTCAATTTCTTTATCTTTTGCCTGATCAAATTACATTGGCACCAGTCTTATTTTCCTTTTGAAGAAATAGTACAACATGTCAAACGAGTACAAAACTAGTACTAGTGATCTTCAAAACTTTACAATGGTCAATCTTTTCCATTTGTATTTTACAATTTTTCATATTTGTATTTTAGATTCACAATTTGCATAGTACAGATATTTTTTGCTATTTAGGTCTTCCGTTTTCAACGGAAGACCTATAGTGATTCTACTGTTTCTTATTAGGTCTTCCGTTTTCAACGGAAGACCTATAGTGATTCTACTGTTTCTTCTTCTTATTATTATTTTTCATTTTTATTTTTTTGACCTTTTCAAATCGCGATATCTCAAAAACTACTCATTCGTTTTCAGCCAAATTTTCAAGAATGATGTGTTATCTCATGCCATTTTGAAATATTGAAAAAGTTTGGAAAAAGTTACTTCCGGTCATGAATTATTACGATTTTTCATTTTTTCCACTAAAAATCTGGTTCGTGAATGTTCTCAGACACTGTTAAAGGTAGGACTCTGAAACTTTCAGGTATGATAGAATTTGGTTTGTAGATGTGTGATGGAAACATTTCGTGTGTCTTTGTCACTTCCGGTCGTCACAGGAAGTGATTTAAAAAGGGTAATTTTTTGGACTTTTTTGTTTTTCATTATTTTTTTTATGATGTTGATATGCTAAATAAAGAGTCTTACAAGAATGCTAAATACGCAATTTGTTTAAAAATTGATTAATCAATACTGTAAATATTTATCATTTTTCAATTTTAAGCGATGATGTTTGTTAGCGTAATGGTTAGTATATTGAATTTTCACGTGAGCGATCCGAATTCAATCCAAAGAATGTCCGAATTTTTTTTCTCACTTTTTGGGGCTCAAATATAAGATTTTATCTTTAAGGGGGGGGGGGGGGAGGGCGCTATGTCGTTCGACGTCAGAGCAGCGGTGTTTGACGGCACAATATCAGCGTGTCTTTTTACTCCCTTATAAAGGGTTTGCAGTTGAATTTTGCACTAATCAATGTGCATAGATGCAATTGTGATATGACAAAACGAGGACCACATGTTGGTACAAATGTATATGTAGCTAGATAACTATGCAATTGTATCATAAATTGGAGATTTGCCGAATTGTATTTTGAAAGTAGAATTTGTTACTTTCTCATGTTGATTGAATAACATATAGCAATTTCAAATGAGAGAAAAATAAACTTCAATGATATTTTTCTTTGATTTTAATAGGATAATATTCCTTTATAGATGCAAGTTACTGAACATAATAGGTATCAGATTCCTTGAGCGTCATATGGCGAGACGTGTATTGTTGCCAAACATTCCAGTCTTTTCATTAATGTGTTACTAATCGGAATAATTCACTTTGGGAGTAAAGAGGAATATAACACGCGTAAGAAAACTTATCGCTGCCTTTATGTTACTTGCCCGTATACGATATGTTATATGTGCAGTGTGATAAATATACATTCTTAGACTCGAAAATCAGGCTATAGCAACATATTTTTTTTTCTTTTGAATTTCATTGAAGCTATCACGTACACTTATTTAATTGAAGACACATTCCAAAGAAAAAGCGCGAAGATTTACTCGTGACGTTTGGCGCGAAATAATGTATCGTGACCCGCCTTTCACAAATGGTCTGATGCAGTAGTGTAGAAGTACAGAAAAAGATTACACGGATATGTCTGTATTTGGAATTGCATAGAATAGAAAGTTGAATGCATGAAGAATAAAGGAAGTAAACATAATAGTTTTTTTTTTTATAGTTTTTATCAGTAACAGATTATTTTCTCTGCTATCAGTCATTGTTAAAACTCAAGTAACAGATCCGATGTAAATCTACTAGCACTTGCACAAAATTTAGCTGGCTAGTTTTCATCCTATAATTCCGCACTATAAGAAGAAAAAAAATAACCTGCCCGACACTCGTTACTTGAGGGAATGAGTGCAAGGTAAACATCGATGATGGCTGGTACATTGCGCTAGTGTAGTGGTTTCAATATTAAAGAACAGGGTTCGCTTAGGGCCTTTTTTGGCCCTGTGAATTTCAGAAAAACTGAAACTGCTTGGTTTTAGTTGACAATGCATTAAATATTATTTAGACCTTTGATGACTGCGTATCTATAAAAAATGACATAATTTTCTGGCTAGCCTATGCATTATGACGTCATGAAATGTGTCATTTTCCTCGTATCCTGAAAATTTCTACAAAACAGCCAATTTTTAAAGCCATTTTTCGATATTTAATATAGGACGTAACCTCTGATCTTAAATATGCAACTAGTAAATGATAGAACTATTTCTGAGGATTACAAAACCTGTTTTATTTTTTAGAATCAGAGGATGCGCTCATATTATTTCTCTTCTTTTTTTAACTAAAACTTGCATCACTTTATTGCATCTCTTTCGCTGTTTTGAAATATGATAGATTCCACCGGAAAAAAAAAGTCAACTT